CACAATTAGTTGACCAAGAAAAGTTGTCTTTGACCAAAAATGAAATGGGTAAAATTGTAAGTTTAGATTTTCCTATTATAAACAATTAAAATATTAAATCAAAATAAAAAATAAAAAATAAACTGAAAAAAAACTTCATCACAACCCTACCCCCACCCCATAATCAAAATGAAACGAAGAAACGCCCACCTCCTACCACCGGCCGATCGGCCAGCCATCAGCTCACCTTTCGTCGTCGTTGTCATTCACCACACCACTTCTTGAGGTAAAATTGGAGACAAATAGAAGAGCGAAAAAAATAGAAATTCCAAAATTTGATTTTTATTTTTTCAGAACGCGAAAATTGATTATAAGTGAAGAAAGAAACGAAGAAATCAATTATAAGTTCCGATTCTGGTGTATATTGCGTACAGGAGGAGGCAACACCAGCAAGTGGGTAGGCTTTCTACAACTCAAGGGAAAATGTTTTTGAATGCCTGAACAAATTTAATTACGATTTTGCCCCTCCGTCGCCAGCGCCTGAAGGCAGTTCCTCGTCGTCCTCTTCTTCCTTACTAGCCGCTAAAGCCATCAGAGCTTCATCAACGTATTAAGATTAATCACTTTCTTCAGCTTATGGACAGTCACTGTTCGTGCTTAATTGGAGGTAGTTTTTCTAAGGAATTGAGATTGAATCATTTCCCCTTATGATTGGCAGATGCGGTTTGTCGTAGCGGGATAGATGGCATGAGTTTGGTTTTTGGGGGTGGGGTGGAGAAGAAGGCCGCCTGCTATTGCTCCTCCATTTCTTTTGTTTTTTTTTAAATATATAATTTTTATTTTATTAATTCAAATTTGTGTGCATATGGACGAAATTGCCCCTATTTAAAATAGTCAAAATACCTTATTTTTGTATTTTCCAGGTCAACTAATGTTGTCTTGGACGGTTTCCGTCCGGTGGATCCCAACTACAAATTTACGAAAGATTAGGGACCATCGCTGACACAAAATGAAGGTTAAAGTAAAATCTGCAAAAATTGAAAAGGTTAGGGATCGTTGCTGCAATTTTCCCTAATTTATATGGGGAGGAGTTTGTACATTTTGATTATAGAATGACATTGAATTTTATTTTTCTGCATAATGTAGTATGAATTTGAAAATGAACATCTCACAACTACAAATACAAGAAAAAAATTATCTTAAAACGTTTTTTTTTTTTTTAAGTTTTAATTTAAGATTTTTTTTCCCAAAAAATTAGGTGATCACATGAATGTATATGCTTAGGTCACAATTAAAAACATAATTGGTCACATGAATTCATAGGTCACAATTATATAACTTAACACGTCTTGCACACAAATTCATACATTATGTGTCGATAAATTCTCTAGTATAAGGTCACAATAAAACAAACTAAGTCAATTCACACTAAAACAAACTAACATATTACATATAGATTATTTCACAATCAGACATCATCGTAAATTGCAATCATACAAATTATATACCATAATAATTTATCAAAACAAGTCAATCACATAGTACATGATTTTTGAAAGTTTATTAAGTTTGAAATCGTATTCTTACGAAACTTTTCCAAAAGAGAAAATGTTCCTATATTGGAAGTCGGGCCATATGAAGTGTGGGTTGCTTTTCAAGATTAGATCATTAAGTCCATTAGCCCACCCTTGTTCTAACCTAAAGAAACTAAAACCCATATTCAGACTACCACTGAAGCCTTACTGGTAAATCCAGTTTTTCACAAATTACTTAAACGGCAAAAATCGAACCAAACCGCTCGAATCGAACCTAGCTATTTGGGTCAGTTTTTGCAACGAAACGGGTTGGATTAGGGTCATTTGGAAGCATTTTTTGTCGGGTTGGATTGGGTTATGAGTTACCCTTTAAAATAGATATTAATATTCCCAACTCGACCCGTATAGGGAAAAAAAGTAATCAAATGATTTAAAGTTGAAAAAAGACCATGTATTGCCCGAGGAAATGGTCGTAGATGGCCGGTTGACCTAGCCACTTTTTCACAATAGTCTTTGATCAAATTTAAGTAAAAAAAAAAAGTAAAACATTTAAAGAAATCACAATATCCATTTTACCTTTATTTTGAATGTTGAGAATTTAAAAAAATGTTATAAATTTGAAAATCATTTCCTACCAATTCCCATTCTTCAATGTTTCTTCATCTCCATCGCAATTCTTCAAGGTATTTGCACCCATCTCCGTCTGCATATTCAAGATTTTTTCATTTCATTTGGTTGAATTTGAAATTTTTTGCTTATAAGATTGATGAATAATGTGTTCTTAGCCTTAATATTCAAAGATTTAAATAAAAAAATATTTTATCGTTTTGAAGAAATTCAAATTTGTGAAGAAATCGCAGTAGATTTGTTATAACTTATATGTTATCGGGTCCAGGGGGATCCCACTTTTTAATTTTGAAATGAAGGGTATTTTTTTCTTTTAATGCTAAAAGACCATTATGATTAATAATTAGTAAGTTATGCTTATGTGCTGGATAGAGTGTTTGACGGGACCATTTCAAACACACGGCCTGTATTGTTCCCAAATCAAATCAAATCAAACCCTACCCTCCTCCGTCTCGTAGCCCCAAGCAATTTCTTCTTCCACCAATCGCTCACGCGACTCTCCTCTTATGTATTGTTCCCAAATCAAACCAAACCCTACCCTCCTTCGTCTCGCAGTCGCAAGGTATTTCTTCTTCTGCCATTCTCGCCACCAGTCGCCCACGCTGCTCTCCTCTCATGTATTGACCGGCCGCCATTTATTTATCCTTTCTTCTTGGTTAGATTCTAACCCCTTTCTTCATTGTTTTTTTTTTCCCAATTAAAAGTTATGTTGATGTTGATCTTTCTATGTTGATGTCCAGAATAATGCATCTTAAATCTAAGTTCATGAACAGATACCACTTGTGTTGCCAGATTTTCATACCTGTCACCATGAATGAAGATTAAGAACAACTTAAATTCATAAACTAATTCGCATGAACGATCAACACCATTCTATAGTGGCTTTGCACCACCATTTTCTTAGATTGACCCATGTCCATGAACTTTCCAGGTTTGCTTAGACCACTGCTCTTATTTGAATGGTTGTGTAAGTATTGTTTTCATTTGTATAACACCTAATCCCTAGTCACATTCGTTTCAATCACAATTGCATTATGATTTTTTTGGGTACGCTATTAGTATTTGCTCTAGGATGACCCATTATTCTGCCGATTTTGGTAAGACTTTTGCTTAAAGCCTTAGAGAAAAGTAACTTTTTTCGTTGTTCAGTTGTTTGTTTTCCATGCCTAATTGGTATATATAAATTTGGATGACAAAATCATATACCATTTATGTTTTGACGTGAGAACACTTTCGGTGTTGGTTGCCATATGATTAGGTCAAAAGATGACAAGCACTTCATTTCGAAAATAATTGTTCTTCAGCTTTTAGGTGTTGTCATTGAGACTTTGAACTACAAAGAACTAAATATTATGAAGAGAAAGAATGTTGGATGACGGCAATCACGTTCTTGGGTTTTATTGTTATGATGTTGAGATTTTGCACTTGTACATTATATTATTGTTTGTATGTATATACATAATTTCTATACCACTTTCTAATTGTTTTGTATTTTGTCAGGTTTGTCCTCGTGGTAATGCTAATTCCATTGACGATTTTTACCAACATTTTCTCCTGTTAGATTCCTCCCGTCACAAAGTTCCTATACACATAATTTTATTCATCAATGTATTTGTTAAATTAAGTTGTTACCATTGAAGCAAATTAGGAAGCCAATCAGTAGAAACTGTTGCTGAAAATCATCCATGAGGACCATGACATCAGTATTACCACGAGGACAAATTTCATAAAATACAAAACAATTAAAAAGTGATATAGAAATTATGTATATACATGTAAACAATAATATAATAAGTTCAAGATTTCAATATCATAAAAATAAAATCCAAGAACGTGGTTACCATCATCCAACCCGCTTTCTCTTTGTAATGTTTAGCTTGTTTTTACTTCAAAGTTTAAATGACATCTAAAAGCCGAAGAACAAAACATAAATCGTACACGATTTTCTCATCCAAAATTATATGGACCAACCATCCATGAAAAATAAACTACAAAATAATGAAGACAAGTTGGCTTCTCTCTCGAGCCTTAGCAAAACTCTTACCACAATAAAGGCACATGCTATAGCACCTAAATATCATACAGAAGAAAATCGCGACGTCCAGCTTGTTGGTTTTACCACATGCAATTATGTTCGAAATAGCAAATGTGATTACCAATAATATCCAGACATCGACCTAGATCCGAATTAATTGTGGATGCTCATTAGCACCATTTTCGTCAATGACATCATCATTTCCAACCGTTTGAACAACAGGTTGAAATTGAGGTACTTCACCTTTTCATTTACCAACAAGAAGAAATACAAATTCAAATTAAGTTTTTGCATTGCAAATTTGATAGTTGTTGCAAAAAGTAGCTTATTGATACGGATAAAAATAGGAAAATAGGTCCGACAACGCCTGCCATTTATTCTGTTATATACTCTTCTATATAGCAATACCACCCACGATTTTTTTTCCTTTTTTACAATCTATTTTGTATCTCTCGCATTCACATTTCTCACATTTCTTATTATGGATCACATCATCATAGATATTAACCCTGGCGCTACTGATAATGTTAAGTCCCATATTGAAGAAGTTGTACTTGGAGATGGTGAAGGAGAATGAGAAGTTGAAGCCTCGCAACCTGTTGTTGCTGTACTTTGAAATGGTGAAGGAGGAGGAGAAGCTGGTGAAGCCTCTTAACATGTTGTTGTACCTGGAGATGGTGAAGGAGAAGGAGAAGCCGGTGAAATTCCTCAAAATATTGTTGCTGCTGAAACTAACATAAGTACCAGTGTTTTACCATATTAGATGAGGCAGTAAAGCCGGTGAAATTCCTCAACATGTTGCTGCTGAACTAGCATTTCTGCAACTACTGTAGAAAACTGGCATGATAAATTGAAGTTAGAACCTTTGTTTCATCACTGATCATATCGAGAAGTATTAAATGCAAGAAAATAGGAAATTATGACATATTCCGTCCTCATGGAGACGTGCTTACCCAAAGTTTGCGTCAATCTGGAAAGGGGGATGTGCAGTAAATGGGTCACTATAAAGCACTCCTTCAAATCACCTTCACGAGTAGGATCCACCTAATCGGATAGATGCTTGATCATCTGGTATGCATTATTTACTGTAACCAAGACATGCTCTCAATGCGGCTTTCCAAACAGTCGACCACCCCGGACCCCCTTCTCCTGTTTCATTCAAACAAATAAATCAGGAAGCTAAAAATTCGCAAGAAATATACACATTTGCTGAGCAAAGCTGAGGATCACTTCAAGCTCGTTTAAAATATGAACCTCTTTTATATACTGTATAGTTTGCAGCTTTACATAGATCAGGATTTTTTTCGAGAGTAATTATGTGTCCCCGGAATAAGCCAAATATGTACAATACATGCCTATGATGCACATCCGGATCCTAAAAAGTCATGTGCCTATAATGACACATGATAAGGATCAAAAACTAGTTAAGCATGAACAACTTGATAAGATAGTCATCTTACATGTTCAATAATGAAAAATTTGAATGTGTAAAGCTCGTTAACTTTGCTAGCCGGCCTTAATTAGGGTGAGCTCGAAGGGGCAACCTTTTTTCTGTAGTATCAATAAGCTACTTCTTGCAACAATTGTGAAATTCGTAATGCAAATTTTTAATTGTTGGTGAAGGGGAAGGTGAACCTGCTACTCAAGTTGAGCATCCACACTTAATTTTTATTTGGATAATTGTCAGCACTATATTGATCGCCGCATTTTCTACTTTGTTATGTTATAAAGCCATCATGGTAGACATCGCAATTTTCTACGGTACGCTATTCGGGTCTATTATAACATACATTTTTATTGTGCCGTTTGTGGTAAGATTCTGCTTAGGGATCAAGTGAAAAGCTAAATTGTATTCCTCATTCTGTTATTTATTTTCCGTAGATGGTTGATCCATATAATTTTGGATGTGGAAAACTTGTACGATATATCTTTTGATGTGAGAACACTTTTGATGTTGGTTGTCATGGTCAAAAGATGACGAGCACCACATCTCGAATACAATTGTTCTTCAACTTTTAAGCGTTGACATTGAAACTTTGCATTGCAAATTGGTTTGCAAAGAACCTAAACAAGCTAAACATTATAAAGTGAAAGCCAGTTGGATGATCGCAACCAGTCTTTCGATCGAATTGCAATGCAAAGTTTCAATACTAACACTTAAAAAAGCTGAAGAACAATTGTACTCGAGATGTGATTATCGTCATCTTTTGACCATAACAGTCAGCAACCAACACCAAAAGTGTTCCCACATCAAAAGATAAATCGTACAAGATTTCCTCATCCGAAATTATATGGATTAACCATCCATGAAAAATTTAATAACAGAATGAGGAAGACAAACCAGTTTTTCACTCGAGCCCTAAGCAGAATCCTTACCACAAACGGCACAATTAAAATGCATGCTATAACAGATCCGAATAGCATGCCGCAGAAAATTGCGATGTGTACCATGACGGTTTTATGGCATGCTAATGTGACCAAAGCAGAGAATGAGGCTATCAACATAATATAGACAATGATCCAAATAAAAATCAAGTGTGGATGCTCAACTTGATGAACATTAGCACCATTTTCACTAGAAGATGGTTCACCTTTCCCTTCACCACCAAGTACAAATTTAAATTTCATAATTGTTGCAAAAAGTAGCTTATTGATACTACAAAAAAAGGTTGCATCTTGGAGCTCACTCTAATTAAAGCCGGCTATCAAAGTCAACAAGTTTTAAACATTCAAATTTTTCATTATTGAACATACAAGATGACTACCTTATCAAGTTCACGCTTAACTAGTTTTTGATCCTCTTTTTAATCATAATTTACTGAATGTCAATCAAATGTCACAAATTGTTAACACATAGACGAAAAATAAAATCTTCCACAAACTGCACAACATGTTATTTTTCACTTATGTTATTGTAATGGGCTTTGTCAACTTTCAATACCTGATCAAAAGGTTTTACAGTTATTTAATTAACTTTTGTACTAGTGCTACCTACTATTATTCTACAATTCAAACTAACAAGAGAAGTTTTGGCCAAACGACAATATGCCAATTTGGTGGAAAACCTATTCTTGAGTTAAATTCTTTAATATGCCAGTTTTAGCAAACATTGTGTGTCCATAGATTAGCAACGAGGAAGATTCTTTGTAAAGGGAAACTGGTTAGGTTGAAATATACCTAAATAGAAACCATTGAATGATTCACGTCAGCGTAAATCTTTTGTTTTTTACTGTTTCTCTGCAATCCACAGATATTGAGATATATTTACCTTCTTTTTAACCTTTAAAGTAGGAGTTTTTAAAGAAAAAATTGACCGATTATATTGCATCACAGTTTTTAAGCATGGTTGGGCGTGTATTAGAGCAAAAACTCACTTATTCACCCATCATGCTTCAATGTTAAAAAGCTAATATTCAATTTACATAGTTTTTCGAAAGAACCATAAAATATTCTAGTAGAGAAAATTGGAGTTTTATGTAATAGCTAATCAACAATGGGCAGGGCTTCACCAATTTTTCCTCCTTCACCATCTACAACACCAATTTCTCATCCCTCATCATTAGGTACTGCAACAACTTCTCTGGTACAACTTCAATAGCACTAAGGTTAACATCTATGGCAGTAAGATCCATTGTGACAAAGGAGAGAAATCGTGGGTGGTATTACTATGTAGAGGAGTATATATATAATAGAATAAATGACAATTGATCATATTGCCATAGATGTTAACCATAGTGCTATTGAAGAAGTTGTACCTGAAAATGGAGAAGGAGAAGTTGGTAAAATTGTTGTATTACTAATACCTAATGATGAAGGAGGAGAAACGGGTGTAGTAGATGGTTGAAGAGGAGAAGCTGGTGAAGCCCTGCCCTTTGTTGCTGCTGAAGGTAACATTGATTATAATTTGTTTATGCTTAATTGACTTCACTTTTTACATTTTATGAAGGCATTTGTCAAAATGTGCGCTATTACATAAAACTCTAATTTTCTCTACTAGAATATTTTATGGTTCTTTTGAAAAACTATGTAGATTGAATATTAGCTTTTTAACATTGAAGCATGACGGGTGAACAAATGAGTTTTTGCTCTAATACACAGCCAATCATGCTAAGAAACTGTGATACAATATAATCGGTCAATATTTTCTTAAAAAACTCTTACTTTAAATGTTAAAAAGAATCAGTTACAGAAGCAGGAAATAAAAGGTAAGCATATCTCAATATCTGTAGATTGTAAGGAGAAACAGTAAAGCGCATGGTAAAAATAAGTAAAAAATTAACCAAATGATACAAGCTGACTTCATATTCCTCAAATATATGAAATGAAACCCATAACTTCCTAAGCAAAGGGATAGAGAGGTGTCACTCCAAACAATAGAAAATGGTTCTAGAATTGTGAAGTAAAGAACTGTTTTCCATTCCATGAATGTGGTGAGGGTAGAGGAAATGTTGGAGCTGATGGGATGATAATGGTTGAATTAGCTATCGACATTGTAAGTAGTGTTGGATTTGGCTAAGATGAGGATTGAGACCTTGGAATTGGTGATAAGGTCCGTTCGGAAAAGCTGGGACGGTCGGGAATCGGTAGCATGTGACTTGTTAAAGGTTTGGAACTGCTAGCATTGAAAGCTAAACAACTTTAGGAATCATCGGTTAAGGTAATGTAGGAACAATCTTGCTACATATACATTCTAGTTGACATTCTGCATTACATTGTACTATATGACCCACAATTTTTTCATTTCTCCAATACTTAAAAACAATTAACAACCTCGATTTTGCCACCTATTCAAAATGTCATCCAGTGTTTTACAATATTAGATTGGTGAACATTGTGTGTCCATAGATTAGCAACTAGGAAGATTCTTTGTAAAGGGAAACATGTTGGGTTGAAATATAACTAAATAGAAACCGTTGAATGATTCACGTCAGCGTACATCTTTTGTTTTTTACTGTTTCTCCTTGCAATCCACGGATATTGAGATATATTTACCTTCTATTTCCTGCATCTGTAACCGATTCTTTTTAACCTTTAAAGTAGGAGTTTTTTAAAAAAATATTAATCAATTATATTACATCATAGTTTTTTAGCATGGTTGGGTGTATATTAGAGCAAAAACTCACTTGTTCACCCGTCATGCTTCAATGTTCAAAAACTAATATTTAATCTACATAATTTTCCGAAATAACCATAAAATATTCTAACAGAGAAAATTGGAGTTTTATGTAATAACGCACATTTTGACAATTGTCTCCATAAAACAAAAAAGGTAAAGTCAATTAAGTATAAACAAATTATAAACAATGTTACCTTCAACAGCAACAATGGGCAGGGATTCACCAGCTTCTCCCCCTCCACCATCTACAACACCAACTTCTCCTCCATCATTAGGTATTGCAACAACTTTACCAACTTTTCCTTCTCCATTTCCATGTACAACTTTTTCAATAGCACTAGGATTAACATCTATGGTAGTATGATCCATTATTATTTATTCTATTATATATATGCTCCACGATTTCTCTACTTTGTCACAATAGATCTTACTGTCATAGATGTTAACCCTAATACTATTGAAGAAGTACTGGAGAAGGAGAAGTTGGTGAAGTTGTTGCAGTACCTAATAATGAACAACGAGGAGAAATTGGTGTTGTAGACGGAGGATGAGAAACTGGTGAAACCCTGCCCAGTGTTGCTGCTGAAGGTAACATTGTTTTTAATTTGATTCTGCTTAAGTGACTTCACTTTTTTTTATGAAGGCATTTGACAAAAGTTACGCTATTACGTGAAACTCCAATTTTATATGGTAGAATATAATATTTTATGGTTTTTTCGACAAACTATGTAAATTGATTATTAGTTTTTTAACATTAAAGCATGATGGGTGAACAAGTGAGTTTTTGCTCTAATACACACCCAACCATGCTAAGAAACTGTAATGCAATATAATTGATCAATATTTTCTTAAAGAATCTCCTTCTACTTTAAAGATTAAAAATAATTAGTTACAGAGGCAGGAAATGGAAAGTAAACATGTCTTAATATCTGTGGATTGCAAGAAGAAACAATAAAGCGCATAGTAAAAATAAGTAAACAACTGACTAAATCATACAATCTGACTTCATATTCCTCAAATACATTAAATGAAACCCATAATATCCTAAAGCAAAGGGATAGAGAGGTGTCAATCCAAATAATAGAAAATAGTTCTAATATCGCAAAGCTAAGATCTATTTTCAATTTGATGAATGTGGGGAGGGTAAAGGAAATGTTAGAGCTGATGGAATGTTAAGGGTTGAATTAGCTATCATAGGAGGCAATGTCACCTTAGGCATTGTGGGTAGGACTCTAAATGGAGCGGATATGGATCGGATCTGCCTATATCTGATCCGATAAGAAAATTTATCCAACAACAGATATTTAATTGCTAAATCCATGTCCGATTTGCAATGTTATAGGAAATCCAATCCAAAATTAATAAAAATTAGGGAAAAATTTTTGAACTAACTTGAGGCCAACCTATTTTTCCTAGCAAGCCCAATAATAACTTCTATCAGCATGATGTTCATTTTTAAAGGAGAGACACTCTTCTAATTTTCTATTGACATTCGATGTGGGATAAGGTAAAATTNTGAGGCTATTCTTTTTACGGGTCGATGCCCGGATCGGTTTTTAAAACATTGGTTGAAATCAACTTTTTTTCTTCAAATTTTCCAATTCTTAAACATATTTAATAATTATAAAATTTTCAACTTTTTTATGTTTTTGAATTTGATTAATTTTTTATTTTAAATTTATTTATTTTAGTGACAAATAATATGCCATAAAAATATTTTATCGACTCAATTATTTATAACAAATCGGATTGGATTGTTATCGGATTGGATTGACCTATATCCATATTTGATCCATTTAGTTAACGGATTATCGGATTCGGATCTTGATCTGGTTATCGGACTAAGACCTAAATCCATCTCCCATTAATTTCGTCGGATTCGGATCAAAATCCGATCCATTGACAGCCCTAATTGTGGGTAGTGTTGGATTTAGTAGAGATGGGGATTGAGACCTTGGAATTGGTGACAAAGTTGGTTTGGAAGAGCTGTGACAATCGGGCATATCAGGTAATAGTGGTAATGTGGCTTGTTGAAGGTTTGAAAATGTTGGCATTGAAGGCTAAGCATCATTAGGAATCATTGGGATAAGCAACCATGACCTTAGGAAACTGCTGGCATTGAAGGCTAAGCAACCTCAGGGTTTTAGATTCTTTCTTCTCAGATTTTAACTCACTCCTTTCTTAAAGCATTAATTATGACATCATTAACTAGAGTTTCCCTTCCATATTTAATAGTATTTTTAACATCTTTATACTTATCACCAATTGAATTTAATAAGATCACAATCAGTTGATCTTTTGAGAGCTTCTTATCACAGTTAGCTAGGTCATGGGATAATCTATTGAATCTGTCAATATTAACCTCAAGATCTAGGGATGGGCCTAATTTAAAACCAAAAAAAATATTTCAAAAGATACACTTTATTTGGAATGGTTTTGTTCAAATATGTAGTTTCTAATTTTTTCCACAATTCAGCAGCAATCTTTGTTTCATCAATTTCCCTAAGCACATTATTAGAATGTAGAAAAATAAAACTTCATGCAGCTTCATCTTGTTCAGTTACTTTACTAGCTTCAAGATCTGTAGGCCATGATTCATTAATGACCTTTGCACATTTTTGTTGAAGCAAAAGTGCTTTCATTTTTTGGTGCCAGAGACTAAAATCTCGTTTACCATTAAAAACTTCCCATTCAAATTTTGAAGAAATCATGATCAAGAAATTTAAATGAAGATCACACAGAACACTTTAAGAGTATATACAAGTTCAGTAGTTTGTTCCTAATAATACAGTCACAAAAACGTTTCTTTATTACAAACTAAGTACAAATTATAACTCTATGCAATATACAATAATAAGAAACGTGCAGAGAGTTAGAATCTAGATCTTTGACACAAATTAAGACAGCCCTTAGATTCCAAACAACTCAAAGGGTTTCTGGAAAAAGAAATTGCCAAGAAATCTCAGATCTAAAGATTTTATAACACGTTTGCAAGAAATTATAAGGTATAAGCAAATAATCTATACTTAAACCGTAAAACAAGAACGAACTCACCAGATTCCTTAATTAAGGTTTCAGAAATAACAACGAACTGCATAATTAAGTGTCAAACTTCCAGATCTACAGAGATCGAAGCCAAGAACCACCGTCTAACCGCTCAAGATTGGATTCAAAAATATTAGACACTTTACCAACAGATCTAGAAAATATAAAGCACAAATTTAAAAGAAACAAGAGAATACGAAAATTTTCGCCCTAAGGCAAGAGGTTCAGAACATAAAGTTTTTAATCCCCTTTTGAGCTTCCACTACCGGAAGAAACCACTATATTAAAAAATGGAACCAAATAAACTGTCCAAGATACACTTTCTGAGCACTTAGTATGAATCACTCCAGATTACATCAACAAGCCTTTTTGATCTATACAAATGTTCACTCAAGAACTCAAAACTCGACAATCACTCAAGATGTATATAAAGCTGATATTATCTAATAGATCAAAACCAAGCTTTCTGCCTTTTGAGTGAGAGAAAGAGACAAGAGAATCACAAGATATATACAAATGTTCATTTTATTTCCTGTAGATTCAGTATTTTATATAAATAGATTGACATGCATTTCATGACTTCCATTGAAAAAATAAAATTAACATAAAAATTATGGGTCATTTTTTAATTGAAAGATTGGTTTGGGAGCAGTTTATTTGCTGCTGACCAGCGGTGGGATGCTGGAAAAGATGAGAAGTTTATTTTTTGTCAAGCTATAATAACAAATCAAGAAATTAAACAATTCAGCTATTCAACTATTATCATGTCAATAATTTGGTAAAGTAAATAACAAAGATAAGTATAATGAGCAACATAGAACAAAATATAAAGTTGGATATTGGACAAAAAAAAGTAACAGACACTGGAATGATGTCCAAAGACTATTTTGCTTGAACAAATATATTGTCCCTATTTCCATATTTCGTTAGCACAACCATTAGGTTCTATGGTATCATTTAGATTTCCTCTTTCGTCACAATAGTAGCATCCCCACAAAAACTCTCTTTTGCCCCTATTTGTCTACCATTTTTACAAACATTGTTTTTTACAGTAAACAATCTCAACCACATATTCACTCAATAAAATATTTCATATACAAACCTTATTTCATTGAAATTTAAAGTTCCACACATTCTCCGAAAAATACTATTACTTACTCCATTTTTCTACCAATAATGGTAGACAAACAGGCTCTTTGTCTCCTCCTTCACCTCTACCTCTGTCCTCACCACCTCCTCTATTTACTTAGACAAATAATAATTAGATTCATATTCCACCACTGCATCTACAGAAATAATTTTGTGCGTTCTGCTGGAAGCAAAGATTATCTAGTCATTGGGCTATGGGAGGACAGAATTTCTGAGGCAACAAAGGGAGTAAGAATCTAACATCCAACTTTGCATCGTGATGTGGAAAACCCTGTCAAAATGTTAAAACACTCCTCAAAAAACTGATTTGAATACAAATATAAAGATGGAGCAGTAGTGTAACACGATTCGTATTGAAAGACGAGAGCTCTCAAGATAAAAAAATGAATCACTATTAGAGCTTAACCTCGCAGACAGCATTAAAATTATACCTCCATAAGCAAAGATCTGATACAATTGCTCGGAGTTCCTGATCATCTCGAACACTATTGTGCTCACAACAACTATTGGTAAAGTAAGTATTATAAATCCGACATTTTTGGACACCACATTTGGAAGCTTTATCAAAACCCAGTTTATTAAGGTCAAGGTCATGCTGAAAAACAGAAAAATACCCAAAACCCAGATGAATATCCAGTTAACCACACTAGTGAGTTTAGTCAAGAAAAGTAAGTAGAATAAAACATAAGAAATTGGCAAAAAATAACACAGCATTCCATCACTCTTCTGGATCAAGGGAGTGTTAATCTGAACCATTAGAGAACAACGAAAAGTGATAGAAAGAAGGGGCTAGGGTTTATGGAGTAAAGATCAATATGGGGTATTCAATAAATAGAAGGGAATATTGCACAATTAGTCCCCCAATGTTTAGGTACTGTTGTTAATCCGTCCTCAACTATAAAATTTGACCTTTTAAATCCTTAACTTTAGCTTATTTGGCATTGATGATCATTTTTCACAGTTTTTCGTCAACTTGTAACTAAATCTTGGCTCTTTTTTTTTTTTTTTT